TAAGCCTGCAGGACATTGTCTTCATTAGTGATTGAAGAGGTAGGGCCCAGTCCACTGTGGGTGAGACCATCCCCCAGTGGGTGCTGGCGGTCCTGCGTTCTATAAGAAAGCAGGCCGAGCAGGCCAGTAAGCAGCACCCCTCCACGGCCTTTGCACCAGGTCCTGCCTTCAGGTTCCTACTTGAGTTCCTGCTCTGCCGTCCTCTGATAATGAACAGTGTGGTGCAAGTATAAGCTGAATAAACCCTTTCCTCCCCAACTTGCTTTTGGTCATGGTGTTTCATCATAGCACTTTAATTATAAGCAGAACACTTACCCTGAGTGACTCTGTTTTACAAAGCCAAAGCTGCCTTTGCTTTGTCTGCGAAGACTGAATCTGTGTCTTGTGTCATGCAGTTGCCACCACCCGCTACATGAGGCAGGGACAGCTGGATTATTGTGCAAGCAAGCACCGTGTATAACTTTCTACAGCAGATCGCGACTATGTGGGCGCGAGAGTCTATTCAAGTCACACCAGAAGGGGTGGGTCTATAACACAGTGGCCAGGCTATTTGGCTGGCATGCAAGATGCTCTGGGTTTGACCCCAAGCACCCCATAAAATAAGACTGGTAGTGCGCGCCTGTAATCCCAGAATTTGGGAGGTAGAGGTGGGAAGATCAACCAAGGTTCAGAGTCATTCTCAGCTACACAGTGAGTTCCAGGACCGACCCAGTAGGAAGAGATGAGAGAAGATGAGGAGATGAGATGAGGAGATGAGATGAGGTGAGGCGATGAGATGAGACAAGGAGATGAGGTGAGGAGATGAGATGAGAGCCATAACAGGAAAACCAGGCTATGAACATTTTTTCATAGTTCTGTGGGTTGAACAGAGGTGGCTTTGAGCATGCTAAATGCTCTACCATTGAGCTTCAACCCCTGCCCTCAGGCCCATGAACAAAATAAACCAAGAAAACAAAACTCTGACCTGGACCCCCGCCAAAGGAAGGATGCCTAACACTGTCCTGACAGTGGCCCCGCCAGCCTGAGGGAACAACAGGCAGGATCTCCAGTCTGGGGTAGGAGGGGCTTCTGGCCAACACAATCGCCACTCCTTTGACTGCTTGATGCCGCCCACACCTGGTACAGAGCCTAGTTATGTTGAGGGGCTGGAGAGATGGCTCAGTGGTTAAGAGCACTGGCTGCTCATCAATTCCTGGCAACCACATGGTGGCTCACAACCATCAAAAAGGTGATCTGATGCCCTCTCAAAACAACAACAACAGAAATTTGTATTTTGAAGACTTCAGGAAACATTACACCAGACAAAGAGCTCTCTGAGAGTCGAGACCTTATTATCTGTTTGTTCATGTGCTCCCCAGAGAACTGTGAGGAGTAGCTTTGCCTCAGAGGTATATGATATATTTTAGATTTAGCTGAAGGCAATATGGTACGAGACTAAGGGGGCAGGAAAGTGTGAATCAAATTTAGAAATATTAGTTCAGTTGTGTGGTAAGGAATGAGGAGGAAAACTATGTCAGCAAATTAGATAAGATCCCTGAAAAGACACAAACCACTGGAGCTACAGAAAACAGGCAGCTTCAGTAGAACCACAGCTGAAGACTGAGTTAGTAGGCTAAGGCTGGCCATGGTGGCACATGCCTATAAACCTGGGAGGAGCAGATCTGAGGCCCAGCTGGGCTGCTCGGGAGGTCCACATTCAGGCCAAGATACATACTGTGAGTCTCTCTCTCTCATATAGATGTTACACATATCACACACACATACAAATTAAAAAGAAAAACTATTCACAAACAAAAGTCTGGGGGCTGGGGAGAGGGCTCATTGGTTAAGAGCACTGGCTGCTTTTTCAGGACAGTCCCAGCATGCACACAGTGGCTCATGATCAGCTCTAACTACATTCCCGGGGTCCGCCCCTCTCTGGCCTCCACAGGCATGAGGCATACCCATGGCTTATAGGCAGGCAGGCAGGCAAACCAACCACATACCTACACTTTACAAAAGAAAAAGAAAAAAAAGAATGAGGTTGGCTCTGGATCTGTTCACATTTAAAGTGTGATCAGACATTGGCTTTAGTGTTGTTTTAGTGTGTGTGTGTGTGTGTGTGTGTGTGTGTGTGTGTGTGGTGCTGACCACATGGAGGGCCTCAAGCTTGCTAGGCAAGCATTCTGCTCCCCACCCCACACAGGACCCTCTCCTGTCCCTCTTTTGTTATTTTTTCCATCTCCCTTTCCTCCTCTCTTCATTTCCCTTTTCTTGCTATGTGTACCAGCCTGGTGTTAAACTTGTGATGATCCTCCTGCTTCCTCTAATTACTGGGATCACAGTTGCTCATGGTCCCCAGCTCTTTTCTACTTCATTTGGAGACACTCTCTTTTATGACAAGGTTGGCCTCAAACTTGTGATCCTCCTGTCTCAAAATCCCGAGGAGCTGGAATTACAGGCGTGAAATCTAATACTTCTGAGCAGAAATGGATATAAGAAAGTTATGGTGGCACACACCTGTAATCCTAGCACTCAGGGAGGCAGAGGCAGGTGTATCGCTGTGAGTTCGAGGTCAGCCTGGTCTACAAACTAAGTCCAGGACAGCCAGGACTACACAGAGAAACCTCTCTCCAAAAACCAACCCCCCCCCAAAAAAAAGTTATAAATATCCTGTCATCAAATCTCCAGCAAAAAGAACTTAAAACCATCTATCTGTACAGAAATTGTCTTTAAGGTATGTTATACTGAGAAGAAATAGAATTCAGAAATAGGAGTCCTTCACTCTGGCTGCATCAGGTCAAGCCTTCATTAAAAATCCTTAGTGAGGGGTCAGAGGTCGGAAAAATGGGAATGAAGTTCACCTTAAACAATAGCTGTAACTTTACCCAATATTGCCTTAATATCAAAGTTTTTCTGCTGAACGTTCCCCAATACTTCATTTTTAATCCACAAAAATGCTTATAGCAACATGAGCACAGGTGCACTCCCTGTTTCTTCTAGAGCGTCTGTAGCTGTCATCAGGCTGTTCTGGCAGGCCTCCACAGGCCTGTCCTCCACAGTCTTCTAATGTCTTCCCTGATGCCTGACAGCCTCTTTTTTTGTGGGAGGAAGGATGGGAGTGTACAAACAGGCTTTGGTGTCCTGTAAAGATGGCTCAACTGGAGAGATGGCTCAGCGGGAAAAGGGTATCGGAGCTCATCAACAAGCTTGAGCCCTGGAACTCACGTGACTTCTACAGGTGCCCTCTGATCTCCACATGTATGCCAGGGGACGCATGTGCTACACATACACCAAAATCAATGAGGACAGCAATCGAAATAGCTCTGTAGTGGCCCCCGATGGGCTGGGGTGTAGGTCAGTGGTGGAGTGCTTGCCTAGCGTGCTCAAGGCCTTGACTTCAGTTCTCAGCACAGCAACCAACCAACTGAAACAGAACAGGAAAAGAGCTGGAGAGAGATCTCTCCTTTGCTATGTGGGGACGCGCTGAGAATGTGCACTCTATCTATGAATTCATGAATCTGGCTCTCACCAAACACTGTCAATGCCAGGTTCTTAGTTTTCTTAGCCTCCAGTGCTGTTAGAACGTAATTTGCCTTTTATTTTCTTTCTTTTATTAAATCATTTATTTACTATTTATACGGCATTTCTCCTGCATGTGTGCCTGCAGGCCAGAAGGGGGCACCAGATCTCCTATGGTTGTGAGCCACCATGTGGGTGCTGGGAATTGAACTCAGGACCTTGGAAGAACAGCCAGTGTTCTTAACCTCTGAGCCATCTGTTCAGCCCCTTAATTTATTATTATTATTAACCCAATTTCAGAAATGCTCCATCCGTGGTTTTTAGAATTTATATAGATACATAGTCACACGTACATTTGCCATGAAAGTAGACGTAAGACTATCAAGAGAACAAAGGATGCAGGGCTTGGTGGCCTTTAGTCCCAGCATTCAGGGAGGCAGAGGTAGGTGGATCTCTTGAGTCCAAGACCACCCCTGGTCTACAAAGCAAGTCTGGGACAGCCAGGGCTACAAAGAGAAAGCCTGGGAAAGGAAAGGAAAGGAAAGGGAAGGGAAAGGGAAGGGAAAGGGAAGGGAAAGGGAAGGGAA